CTGCAATCTTCCTTCTCTTCAGGACCTGTACGCCTCCAGGACTCGGAGGCGAGCAGGAAAGATTGCAGCTGGACACAAACTGTTTCTTCCCGTTGCTCAACAAAGACCCCCTCTGACTCTGACTCTGACTCTCCTGGCCCTTCCCCTCCCCCGTTAATGTTTGCACAATTCATTTATTGCACATGTAAATACTTGTATATGTTCTATCAATCTCATATTTTTTAGATATCTTTATATTCATAGGTTTATGTTTATCACCAAATCAAATTCCTTGAATGTATAAAACCAACTTGGCAATAAATCCTAGTGTGATTCTGATTCTGAAACATGAAGCAGTTTGTAAATGTTACTTTAAATTGTTCATAGTTTTTAATCTTTGATGAGAAAAACACTAGAAACACAGAGCGTGAATCTTCAACATGGTTTGATGGTTTATTCAATATTTAACTTCACACTTTTACATGATTCTTCACTTTGTTTTTCATTATCTGCACAAAAATCTCAGTTTAAAATGTTAAATGTCGCATCTGTCCTGACCAGAAATGCAGTTGAAAGAAAGAAAGAAAGTCAAACACACCAAACTGAAGGAGCTCTGTCAGCAGCAGGTTTAAGACACTTTGTGGAACTAAAAGTGTTTTTATTGTAATCAGGAGGAAAAGAGTTGGCAATCTTCACTAGTGGGATTTAACACAGAAGTGTCATGAATGCATCATCAGTGTTGGTTGACAGGCGGCGTTGAACTGGTGCTACAGTGAGTCCTCATCAGTCGGATGGTTTTGGGAGGCAGTTGGGGTCTCAGGACGCAGTCTGCGATGAACATCGTTTGAAGCTGGTCAGAGGACTTTCAGTCCACAGAGGTATGAAAACAGTTGTGAGGGTTCCAGTCCAGCGGTGAGCAGCAGCAGTTTCTCCCTCAGCCGTCCTGCAGCAGGTCGTACGATCCTCCGTTCACCACCTCGTGTTTGTCCTCCGCCTGCAGACAGACAGTAGGTCTGCAGTTAACACGGCTAACTGCTTCATTCTGTCATACTGTTCTTCTGCTGATCTCCAACAGTCGTCAGGCGTGAAACTATGTGACTTATTTTGTATAAATCGTTTGTTCAATAACTGTAAAAATGTCAGCTTCAAATATTTAAAACCCCCAAATTGGTTTCATTTGTAAAGACGTGAATTAAGTTTAAAGCAAGCTATTAATGTAATGTAATAACATTTTGATCCAAACGACGTATTGACTGATTCTGTAAGGAAACGACGACTCAGCTGCTGACTCACTGTGACATCAGATGTCTTGGACTCTGCAGGTTCTGGAGCCGCTTCGTAAACCGGGTTAGAGATGCTGCGACTGCAGTCTGCAGGTGGAGCGTCTTCCTCCCCTTCATCCTCCTGTCAGAACAACCAGGTTACACCAATATCATCGAATATCTATAATAACTGAGAAAGGTTATATTAATCAAATGTGTTTTACTGACACTGACAGTATTACACTGCATGTACTAATCCTAATGTGTAAAACATGTTTAACTAACATGTTATAAAAATGTTTATCTTAAACTTAAATTAATGTTTTACTTAGTAAAACACATGTTAGTATAAAACCAATAAATGTCTTATACTAATTTACTTATACTAAGGAATAGTGATATTAACAAGTCTGGTTTTTCACTCTCTTGTGTGCCAGTGGACATTTTCTACTGATCCTCGGGGCAGCAGCTACGTCTCAACTGCACACTGACAGACTACAGACTTAGAACTACCAACAGTCTGACCTTGAAGTAGTGGAACTGGAAGGGCTTAGTGTTGTGGGTGTAGAAGTGGTATCCAACAAAGAGGACTCCGGCCACCAGAACAATCAGCAGCACCACCCCGACTCCCATCCCGGCCTTATGAGCCGCGTGCATCTGCAGAACCAATCGCAGGCCTCCGCTCAGACATGGAGACGCTCAGAATACCAAAAAACTGAATACTGCGTCATTATGACATCACTTACCTCGTGGCGAGGAGGCGGGGCTTTCAGAGGTCCCTGGAGAACATGTATGATCCCGTTTATAGCCAGGATGTCCGATTCTGTGATGAAGCGGTCGTTGATGTAACGGGAAGACTGAGGAGACGACAAAGGTTTCAAACTTCCTGAATCTGGACGTTAAAAACATTAACTACAGAAGGAACCCCACAGAACTTCATTCAAATATCTGCCGTTTCTAGAACCAGTGTAGCGTTAAGAACACATCAGGCTGACAGTGAAGTATGTTTGGTGCACGTTTGAGTCTCAGCCAACCAGGCGGCTGTTAGTGTTTGCTTGTACTGTCTCAGCTGAATCTAAACTGCCAGATATTCATAATTCCTGCCTGAAGGACAGTTTGGCGGGACGGGACGGGGCGCCCCCTAGTGTCCAGCAGCAGTAATAACTGACCAGAGCAGAGGGGTTGAGCAGGTCAGCGACTCCGAGGACGGTCAGACTGCCGACACGAGTTCTGATCCGACTGCCGTTCTTCAGCTGGCTGAGGAGCAGAGCCTGACCCTCCGACAGGTGGAACTCAATGGCCCGCTGAGACAGAGTCTGCGGGGACACATGGACAGGTGAGGACACATGAACAGGTAGAGGTGTAGTACCTGCTGTAAGGTCTTTGAGTGGGACTCACCTGGTTGGCAGGCAGGCCGTTGTTGTCAGGTACAAACAGCGTGGACTGGACCATCACGTCACTGAGACGCTTCACGAACTGCTTCCCCGACTCCGACACCTGGGAGTAGTTCAGGATTTGCTGCAGAAGAAAAATGAAGCCCCATCTGACCTCAGACTGACCTCCTAAGCATGTGACGGGTCATGTGACTCGGCTATGAACAACACTGTTAGACGGCGAGTGCACTCACTGTGAGGAAGTTGGAGAAGGTCGGTGTGGATTCGAGGACCTGCAGCAGGTTTCCTACACAGCTGAAACCGTCTCCAAGGTAACCGGGTTTACACTCACACTTCACCTCTGAAACAGAACAAATATCAGCTGATTACTGATGATCACTACATCAGACAACACGTCGGATCAACACAATTTAGGTTACGACATCATTTCGGACGATAACAAGAAAAACAAGTTTGTTATGTGAAGTTCACTCAAAGACGTTTTACTTGGTCTCTATATGATTATATATATACTTATTCTTATAAATGTAATTATGACTGTGGCAGTTTTTTAATCGCAAAGATAAACTGACAAACACATTCGTTGTCATTGACCTCTGACCTGTTTAATCCTCGTTCATCCTAATAGTTTTTTGCACGTTTGTGTTTTTCTCTTCTTGCTGTTATATTGTCACGAGATGTTAACTCATAATACCTCTTGTAAGGACAGTTCCCAATAATTACATAATCATTTCATACTGTTCCTGTTCCTTAAAATGTATTACACTTGGCAAAAAACTTATACTGTCACAATCCAAGTAGAAAAGCTGTAAAAGATATTTGTTATATACCGTAAAACTTTGAATAATAGCTTTTTTTTGCTAAAATCACTGAATTGACCCTGCCTATATTTGGGACAGGCCTTTAATTCCTTTTGCACAAAACTGAAACTACCATGAAGCAGTTTAGTTATTTCAAACAGAATAATACTCAATAATAATAATAATCATGTGCAGCATGTCCATACTGACATATGTTTAAACCTTAATATTTGTATTAATGATCTGAGCAGATTAGAAGCAGCCAAAGCGGCGGTTTAAGAGGTTTTCTACATCCAAAGTACTTCTATAAAATCAGACCTTCATTTTGTTGTTAATGTTTTGTTTTTTCTCTTTTGCTCTTTCTTGTATACTGTCACTAGAGGGCACTGTTCCTTTAGTTCAGTAGCGCTAACCTAAAACCTTTGTAATAAAATAATAAAAGTAATAAAAAAAATTATCATGAGACCATCAGACAAGAAAACAGATTTAGGTTGAGTTAAAAACAAAATACTGATTCTATGACAATGAGAAAACTAAAATAATTCCACCACATCTCTCCAGGTCAGATCTGTTATTTGTCCCTTTACAGTAAACATCACTTTGTCATCAATCATCCATAGAAATGACGTATTTGACATAAACGGTATCTTTGCTCTTTGACCAATGAGTGAAAACCAGGTGTGGCCTGTTCTTTAATTCAGTAAACTCCCTTCACTTGACACTTTCCCCCCACTTCCTCTCTCACCCTTCATCCGGTAGCAGAACGTGTCCCAGGTCTCGCTGAGGTTTTTGCGGGTGCCGTAGTCCACAATGCCCACGTGTCCAAAGCCACAGAGGGGGTTGGAGTAGGTGGTGGGGTACGCCACCCGGGCCTGGTCCAGCCAGCCAGCCGCACACATGTTCAACCCACCCTAGAGATCAACAGGACCAGCAGACAGCAGCTTTAAACAGAGTCCACATGAGACGCTCTAGTATCTGGGTCAGCAGGATGGTCTATGTGGGACCGAGTCAGAATAAACGACAGTGTGCGTGACCCAGAGCAGCAGGGAGGCTCACTGATGGCTTTCAAATAAATAATAATAACACACAAGACTTGTTACAAATACAAAAGGACACAACAGAAACACTACAGGAAGCAACTCTTAATAACCTAAACACAAACATACATCTCCTATGAACTGCTGTATCTGTGTTGTGTTCACTGACCTGCTGAGCGTAGGACAGCTGAGTGTAGGTAGCCAGGCTGCCTCCCTCTGCAGCGCAGGCCTGTTGAGCTTCTGTGTAGTTCAGCTTGTACTGACCTTTATGTGAACGGTAGTGAAACACACCGAGCGTCGCGTCTGCACACAAACACACACACGTTACACCAGCAGACTGTTGCTCTGATTAATTAATAAAGTAAATAAAGAAGACGGACTTTCTTTCAGTACCTCTTCCTGACTGGTCCCCCTTAGTAAAAGTTTTTCAGTTGTAAGTGATGGTTTTATTACTGATTCATTCCAATACTTCAGTTATCAGATCACCGTTTGGGTTGCCAGGTTGATACTTGCTTTGTTGGATACAGAACATCTAAACTAAAATTCATTAATTAAAACAACTTATTAACAGTTACAACTGCAGACTAGGAATCATTTATCAATGACTTAACTATTGTAATAAATGGAATACGTACCAACGTTGGAACGCTGTAAACTACTTGTTATGTCCCTTTACTGATAACTTTATTAATGGGCCAGGGAGGTCAACATGGGTCAATGTCCAATGAGATTGAACCACAGCACTGTGTTATCCAGGTACCTTCAAAGTGGAGGTCCGTACATTTGGCGTCTTGATGACATCGTCCGTTGTCTTGGAGACAGCGGCTGACTGGCAGCTGTTTCACCTGGCAGGTGAGTCCGTCTCCGATGTAGTTGTCCTTACAAGTGCACTTCCTCTTCCCCTGTTGACACAGACAGTTCAGGTGTTGCTGCAACCAACAGGTGTGATGGTGTAAACCAGTAAAGTACATCACGCTCTTCTCACCGGGGCCGTCATGGTGCAGGTGGCGTGTTCGTGGCAGCCTCCGTTGTCTCCGGAGACGCAGGGGTCGATGGGCTGACAGGTGAACCCGTCTCCAGAGTGACCTTTAGGACAGGTGCAGCTCACCTTTTCTCCTGTCTGAGAACACCTGGCTCCTTTAGCACAACCGCCGTTCCAGAACAGACACATGTCTTCCGCTACAGAGAGACAGAGATATCATTCTATAGTACCCGCAATGCTTTGCATGTCAACAGGAAGTTTAATGTTGCCATGGAAACAGTGAGTTAGAGTTAGATCACGACGTCCTCGGGAAGAGGAACACCGAATGATTCAACACCTGTTTCACGTCTGAGTTCTGTGGATTTACCTGTACAGGTGAATCCGTCTCCCTCATAAAATGGCCGACACACACAGGTGTTGTTTTCTCGGCACACGGCTTTTATAGAACATGGCGGAGAACACTGAAAGACTTCAGCTGCAGGAAACAGAGACCATGTATGAACGACGATTACACAACACACTGTTTCACACACACACAACAGCAGAAGACAGCAGTGCAACAGTAACGTGAATCTAACGTCATCTTTAGGTCTCTTGTGTACAAAACACTAATAACACTATTCACATTTTACACACTAAAGAGCTGCACAGTCCATCTACACGCAACAAAATGCTCTTCAACATTTTCATACTTCACGTACGTTGTATATTTAGAATCAGTAATCTCTGATTTTTCCTTTACATGTTTCTGCCCATCATCAACACTGCAAAGCTGCAAACACATTTAATCTGTTGGACACACAGCAGGTAAAGTTTATCTATAGGTGTTGTTTTAGTGACTCAGTTTTATTCTTTTCATTGATCCTGTTTTTATCTTGCTGCCTGCTGGGCTGGATCAAGTGACCCATGTTACAGGAAGTGAGGAAGCAGCTTGAATTTCTCTTGTTGCTGCTGAACTTTGTGACGTCAGTTTGTTCGTCTGTTGGCGCTTTTGACTGTCTTGTTTTTAAGATACTAATAACTAACTTCCTCTTGCTGTACTTCTGCTGCATGAGATCAATGAGGTTTATCTGATGATTATATCCAAAGCTCTCACGCACACATTCACACCTGGATGCTACCAGCTGCTGGTCTGACCATCGGGACGGGAGGAACCGGGGATCGAACCACCGACCCTGTGATTAGTGGCGACCTCCTGAGACACCTCTGGTCAGAATAAGAAGAAGATAGTTCTTGAACTCACCCTGCGGGGTCTCACAGCGTTCTCCGGTCCAACCGGGCTCACAGAAACACACGCCTGTACCTTTCCGCCCGTCGTCACATGACCCGTGTTCTGAACAGTTACAGGCTGAGAACCAGACCAAGAAAACAAACGGTCAGGATCAGAAAACCTGCAGACATCAGACAGGAAACACTCTGACTGCTGCTCACCTTGACAGGCGAATCCGTGGAATCCAGCACTGCACAGCTCGCAGGCCACGCCCTCAAAACCCGCATCACAAGTACAGGTACCGTTACCAAGGTGCCCGTCGTCACATTTACCACGGTTACTGCAGGGAGAGCCGACCCCGCCGGGACAGACTGGAGAGAGAAAGGCCATCGTTATAGAGGAAATTCTAAATATTAATGAACAATGAAAACATATTTATTCAAACTCCTTCAGAGTCGTATGGAAGCCGAAACAGTCGCGCTGTAGAGACCTGCTAAAGATCAGCTCGCACGAATGAGAACACGTGAAATTTTAACTCGCACGCTCTTAAAAATGGTCGCAGTCTGGAGCCCTGGCGTGAAATTAAAGTTTGCCTTGAGAGAAGTTTGAGTTTCAGTATCTCAGAAATAGTAAAGTTAGGCGCTTCCTGTCTTCCTGGAGGGACTGTGGTTTTTATTAAATGGCTCTCTGCTGTTGTTAAATCTGGAAGATGGTTTCTATCCAGCAGACGCTCGTCTCACCCAAACAGTCTCGTCCATAGTAACCATGGCAACACTTCGGCTGCCAGAAGTTGATGGCGCAGACGCTGCGGCAGCCGGTGTTTTTAGTGACGTAGGCGGTGGGAAGGTCGCAGCGCTGAACCTCCTGGAGACCAAACAAAGAGAAGGAATCAGAGACAGGTTCCTGACAGACCTGGTTCATGAACAGAGGACGACTCAGACCTTTAGTTTGGACTCTTTGGGGCAGCGGGAGGTCGAGGAGGAGCACAGTCGACAGCTCATCTGCCACAGAAGAAGAAACAGAAAGAGAAAAGTCAGAGCTGTTGGGTCAGACTTAGTGACCGTACAGCTAATCCTTCATGAAAACCTCTGAGACACTCTGTAAACTACTACAAAACACAGAAGCACCGTGTGAAGCTAATGGTTGTCCAGTTAATCAGCTGACTTCCTTCAGCCTTAAAAACACAGGATTACTGTGGAAAAGTTCTTTGTGAGCAGCAGAACCAGACGGGGAGGTTAGAGGCTCAGGAAACCTGTGCAGGTGTGATCAGAGCTCTGCTCAGGTCCACGTTTCTCTTTTATAAATCCTTTATTCTAAAAGACTGTTTTGATTTCTTTGAGCTATAAATCTAGTAAGTCAATACTGCGTCTTACTGTTGCCTATGGGCGTGTTGCTACGATCCTGTTATGCGTGAAATACCGGGTCATGTGTGGTTTATCAACCGGTGCTGCTAACATTGGCCAGCTCGCTGTTACCTTGACTTGTAATAATAAAACGCATCCAACTCCTTTCCTAGTTTTGTTAACAGACGTCCTGAGCTCCAACTTTCGAGGTAAATGGAAAGCAGCAATAGTCTACCCATCTGCCACCTCAGGATTTCCTCAGCGGTAGAGTACGGGCTCCTTTCTGGTAGGCCAGACTGATAAAATGGTGGTATGTGCAGTCTTGGTAGATTCCAGCTAGTCTTTGGGTGTGTTACGGATTTAGCAAACAGTAAGGTGAGGATTTACCTGAATGTCAAAGGTCGTCTGTTCATCACAGCGTCCTCCGAGGCTGGGCGGGGTCAGCAGGCAGTCGATCCCGTAGGCGATCCCACCAGTAAAGATGAGGTGTCTCTGAACGATCCGGCACTTTCCATCATTAACAAAGATTTCTCCCTGTTTAAAGAAGAAACAGCCCGATCAGTGAGTGCTGGCTCACAACTCTTCCTCTTCGTTTGTTTTCTGTTGTACTTACGATGTTGTCTGTTCCTCCACAGCTGAACGAGAGCGGTGAACCCTGCAGAGTCCGAGCCGAGTCCAGATGGATCAAACCTTCAGCATAAATCTGAGTGAGGGGAAGAAAAGTTTGAGGACAAACAGAGGCTGGACGGTTGATGCTGCTGCACAAAACACCACAGCTTTCAGATCCTCCTGGTGGTTGAACCACCACCTCAGTCCAGGTTTGCTGCCAACCCCCCTAAACTTTACTTTGTCCAGTCTTTTATTAAGATCACAAATTGAAGATCTCATTATCTATGAACAAAGATTTTGCAGTGATACATGGTTTTATGTGAAAAAACCTTATTTTCCACCAGCTGATTTCATTAAATGCAGACGATGCACAATTCTACCTCCATATGAATCCCATAGATTATTGAATGCTGTATTTCCCCCCAAGTCATTTCTAACTGCCTTGTTCTGAAGCACCTTGTAGCATCTGTTATTATTTTAATCTTCCTCACCTTCTGGGCCTGCAGGATGTGGTACTTCATGTACTCCACAAGCTGTGGTCGGTTGTCTTTGTGGAACAGGAAGTCCTTCTGCTCCTGCGGCAGAGACGCCATGACGCCATCTGAAGGCAAGAAGACGGTCACCGGCTGGTACATCCCATCATTCACCAGGTTCATCACTCCTGTGTCCTGATACAATTATACACAGATCATCACTGTGTGAATGAAACATGTAGTTCACTGTTTAACAAGAGATCTCCGAGTTCCCCTCAGTTCAGTCATCATTATGCACAAGCTGCAGGGGGGGGTAGCGAAAATTGGCTTAATTAAAGAAATAATATGCAAATTTGGTGAACAAAGCCCCTGAATTACACTTTTGTATTTGCGTCCCCTTTTCGAGACTCGGCACATTGTCATGGTGGAGAGGCTTTTTGTTCCTTGGTGACCCTGGTCACCCATTGGTCCCCCGAGGCAAACTAATCCATAATCCATAATGGGAGGCCAGAGCCTCCACATAGAGTTGGGATCACCTCTGCAGCACCAGCACTGAAGCCAAACTCCATGGAAAGGGACTAGAGTCTCTCCTTGTCTTATAGCGTTCGAGGTATCTGACCGTCTCGGAGTCTCTGGACCTGTGGACTCCACAGTTCTGCTGGTGGGTTTCATCTCATCTGGGGCGCGTTTGAGAAACCTGCACGAGGGTGATTAGGAGGAACGGCATGCTGCCCCATGTTTTTCATGGATTTTCACTAAGAAACCTTGTTAGTTCAGTGTAGCTGATACCTGAATCTTTCAGGCCCAAGATCAATGACCACCTTTGTGTCATGGGCTCTCCAACACTCATAAAGAGCTGGTGGTGGTGGTCAGCTGGTGGTGACATGGATCAGGTGGTGGGGGAGGCTGTTGGACAGACCTGGGATGAGCCCAAGGGGGCAACATTCAGATCCTCCAGGTGGAGGCCGGGGAACTGTTTTCAGATCCTCCAGGTGGAGGCCAGGGAACTGTTTTCAGATCCTCCAGGTGGAGAGCAGGGAACTGTTTTCAGATCCTCCAGGTGGAGGCCAGGGAACTGTTTTCAGATCCTCCAGGTGGAGGCCAGGGAACTGTTTTCTGATCCTCCAGGTGGAGGCCGGGAACTGTTTTCTGATCCTCCAGGTGGAGGCCAGGGAACTGTTTTCTGATCCTCCAGGTGGAGAGCGGGGAACTGTTTTCAGATCCTCCAGGTGGAGGCCAGGGAACTGTTTTCTGATCCTCCAGGTGGAGGCCGGGAACTGTTTTCTGATCCTCCAGGTGGAGGCCGGGGAACTGTTTTCTGATCCTCCAGGTGGAGGCCGGGAACTGTTTTCTGATCCTCCAGGTGGAGGCCGGGGAACTGTTTTCTGATCCTCCAGGTGGAGGCCGGGGAACTGTTTTCAGATCCTCCAGGTGGAGGCCGGGGAACTGTTTTCAGATCCTCCAGGTGGAGGCCAGGGAACTGTTTTCAGATCCTCCAGGTGGAGGCCGGGGAACTGTTTTCTGATCCTCCAGGTGGAGGCCGGGGAACTGTTTTCTGATCCTCCAGGTGGAGGCCGGGGAACTGTTTTCTGATCCTCCAGGTGGAGGCCAGGGAACTGTTTTCAGATCCTCCAGGTGGAGGCCGGGGAACTGTTTTCAGATCCTCCAGGTGGAGGCCGGGGAACTGTTTTCAGATCCTCCAGGTGGAGGCCAGGGAACTGTTTTCTGATCCTCCAGGTGGAGGCCGGGGAACTGTTTTCTGATCCTCCAGGTGGAGGCCAGGGAACTGTTTTCAGATCCTCCAGGTGGAGGCCGGGGAACTGTTTTCAGATCCTCCAGGTGGAGGCCGGGGAACTGTTTTCTGATCCTCCAGGTGGAGGCCGGGAACTGTTTTCAGATCCTCCAGGTGGAGGCCAGGGAACTGTTTTCAGATCCTCCAGGTGGAGGCCGGGGAACTGTTTTCAGATCCTCCAGGTGGAGGCCGGGGAACTGTTTTCAGATCCTCCAGGTGGAGGCCGGGGAACTGTTTTCAGATCCTCCAGGTGGAGGCCGGGGAACTGTTTTCAGATCCTCCAGGTGGACGTTGGGACACAGAAGAAGGATGTCTAAACTGGGTGTGGGGGGGTTGATGGCACATAGATAAGATGCTTCCCTCGTTGCTCCAGACGCGTGCGACCTCTGACATGTAGAGCAATTGTAAGTCGCTTTGGATAAAAGCGTCAGTAAATGTAAATGTAAGTGGTGGTAAATGGATGCATGGAATTTTGTCCTCAGAGATAAACGAGTGAATGTAAATAAGCTTGGAGACGTGGAGCGTTTTACAGGGATTTATATGTCATATGTCTCTGATCCAAATCAAACTGGATTAATCCTGATAACTGAAAGCTGTTGTTTTGGAAAAAGAAATTAAGTCATTAGAATGAATAAATGACCAAAACATGTCCTGAACCATGACGGGCTTCTTCATCACACCAACGTTTCTAACGTCTTACCTCGAGCAGTTTGTAGAAGGTCTTGTAACCATGACGATCAGCCACATCAGTCAGGTTCAGCTGTGGTAAATCCAGCAGGAAAACAGAATAAAACTTCTAAATCAATCATTGAAACGACTCAAACATCAGAGGATAACAGTTTGTTATTTTACACCACATTCTAAAATGATCAATCAGAAACTAATGAATGGATTAATCTGCAGCCGTGTTGTGCACTTACAGGAACATCCGACTCCTTTTCAGTAGGAGGAAACAGAATCCTGTTGATCTCATGAAAGATCCCGTTAATGCTGGGGCCGTCGCTGTACGTCACTGTAGCTTGGTTGATGAAGATGCTGTCCTGAAAACATCCGACATACAAACAGACCAAAGGACATTCTTTTGTCCCTCATTCATGCTTCATTCAACAACAGAAATCTAAAACATCAGACAGAGACCCGCCCTGCATCACACAGGCATCTGACCAAATCAGTGATGTGATCACTACAAGATGCAGCAGCACATTCTCTGATCTATAAATACACTGGTTCTAAAAATACGGGACTGTTAACATGGTCATTTTCCCAGAAATAATCCCGGTGACCTCCGTCCTGAAGGCTACAGCCCTGAGATGAACCTGGACACTGATTGGTCACCTGGGTGGACCTGGTCGTCAGGACGAGTCCAGACAGAGAAGTCAGATTCCGAGGTCGGCTCAGGTCAGCGGGCCCCAGAGTGTGACACATGACGATGTGGCTGCGCAGGACGGCGCCGGCTTTTTCTATATATTTGGCCGACAACAACGGTTTCATCTGAAACGAAAAAACACAAAGAAATAAAGTCGGAGCATAGAAACTGAAAACCCAAGGCGTTCTCATCTTAGCGTCCGTATGAATCGCCACCGTTTGCTACGTCGCAGCAACACAAAGGAGGCTAACTCTACCTGCTAGACTGTCACATAACTGTTACGCTAGCTAACGCAGCTAAGATGCTAAAGATTTAGTCTCTTCAGAAGAAGCAAGGACTGAGGTGAGTCACCTTGCCGGCACCGTTTTTGTCTGCTGCGTAGGCGTCTGTGTTCGGAGCGAAGACGGTGAACGGGCCGCGACCGTTCAGAGAAACCTCCACCATCTGAAACAGAGATCATACTTCAGCTTGTCTATTTCACCAGCAGGAGGCGTCAGATGAAACGTCTCTTGACTCACCATCAGCCCGAGGTAAAAGTCTCTCAGCCCCCTCCTCACGATTTGCTGCAGAGAGTCGGCAGTTAGTTTAAAGTCCACTGGTTATCATATTATCTAATGTGGGGGGGTAGCAGCTCACCTTCCCCACCGTGCCTCTGCAAACGAGACCGTCTCCCACAAAGTTACCGATACAGCTGCAGGTACGAACTCCTGGACCCGTCATGTTGCACCTGGCGTACTCGTGACAGCCGCCATTTTTCTGGAACACAAACAAAAGGATGATGAAAGCAACAGACTGAGTCACATCAACGCTTTATCAGACTCATGACATCTAATACCCTGCAGTACTTTTACCCTGCAGTACTTTTACCCTGCAGTACCTTTACCCTGCAGTACCTTTACCCTGCAGTACCTTTACCCTGCAGTACTTTTACCCTGCAGTACCTTTACCCTGCAGTACTTTTACCCTGCAGTACCTTTACCCTGCAGTACCTTTACCCTGCAGTACCTTTACCCTGCAGTACTTTTACCCTGCAGTACCTTTACCCTGCAGTACTTTTACCCTGCAGTACCTTTACCCTGCAGTACCTTTACCCTGCAGTACCTTTACCCTGCAGTACTTTTACCCTACAGTACCTTTACCCTGCAGTACTTTTACCCTGCAGTACTTTTACCCTGCAGTACTTTTACCCTGCAGTACCTTTACCCTGCAGTACCTTTACCCTGCAGTACTTTTACCCTGCAGTACTTTTACCCTGCAGTACTTTTACCCTACAGTACCTTTACCCTGCAGTACTTTTACCCTGCAGTACTTTTACCCTACAGTACCTTTACCCTCCAGTACTTTTACCCTACAGTACCTTTACCCTGCAGTACCTTTACCCTACAGTACTTTTACCCTACAGTACCTTTACCCTGCAGTACTTTTACCCTGCAGTACCTTTACCCTGCAGTACGTTTACCCTGCAGTACGTTTACCCTGCAGTACTTTTACCCTGCAGTACCTTTACCCTGCAGTACCTTTACCCTGCAGTACTTTTACCCTGCAGTACTTTTACCCTGCAGTACTTTTACCCTGCAGTACCTTTACCCTGCAGTACGTTTACCCTGCAGTACGTTTACCCTGCAGTACGTTTACCCTGCAGTACGTTTACCCTGCAGTACTTTTACCCTGCAGTACTTTTACCCTGCAGTACCTTTACCCTGCAGTACGTTTACCCTGCAGTACGTTTACCCTGCAGTACGTTTACCCTACAGTACTTTTACCCTGCAGTACGTTTACCCTGCAGTACGTTTACCCTGCAGTACCTTTACCCTGCAGTACGTTTACCCTACAGTACCTTTACCCTGCAGTACCTTTACCCTACAGTACTTTTACCCCGCAGTACCTTTACCCTGCAGTACTTTTACCCTGCAGTACTTTTACCCTACAGTACCTTTACCCTGCAGTACTTTTACCCTGCAGTACTTTTACCCTGCAGTACTTTTACCCTGCAGTACCTTTACCCTGCAGTACTTTTACCCTGCAGTACGTTTACCCTGCAGTACTTTTACCCTGCAGTACCTTTACCCTGCAGTACCTTTACCCTGCAGTACTTTTACCCTGCAGTACTTTTACCCTACAGTACCTTTACCCTGCAGTACTTTTACCCTGCAGTACCTTTACCCTGCAGTACCTTTACCCTGCAGTACGTTTACCCTGCAGTACCTTTACCCTGCAGTACTTTTACCCTGCAGTACCTTTACCCTGCAGTACGTTTACCCTGCAGTACTTTTACCCTGCAGTACTTTTACCCTGCAGTACTTTTACCCTGCAGTACATTTACCCTGCAGTACGTTTACCCTGCAGTACCTTTACCCTGCAGTACGTTTACCCTACAGTACCTTTACCCTGCAGTACCTTTACCCTACAGTACTTTTACCCCGCAGTACCTTTACCCTGCAGTACTTTTACCCTGCAGTACTAAACTGACATCAAATAATTCCGAAATGAAACTTAATCATTGTCCAAACAACGACTGACGCAGTTTGAATCTGAGTCGAGACAAAACTCACCTTTCGACACAAGTTGATCATCATGCAGTTCTGCCCGTCACCTGAGTAACCTTCACTGCAGACGCAGGAAGTCTGAGTTAAAGAGAACAGTAAACGTGAGAGCAGTGAGCGCCTCACCGTCAGCACACATCGGCTTGTATTAAACCTTCAGGTCCGAGAATAAAATCCCTTTTTACTTTGTTTGGTCCGACATGAACACATTCTGCGTCCGAGTGGCAGCCGCCGTTTCCTTCCAGACAGGGATTTATTTCTGTAGGAGAAACACAAAACTCCTGCAACACTCAAACACATCACACGACAGATTCACTCTGAGCACAGACCGACATCATGCTGTGTTGAAGAAGACTTGAAACTAGCGACTGAGACCAGAAACTCATCAGGAAAGTGTTTACTGAGGGAATAAATCAGCTGACAAGTAGAAACAGTTTCTCACAGACTTCTATACAATCAGGTGGAGTCGCCCCCTGCTGGTTTGAGGGACTTCAGCACTGACTTCATTTCTCAGACCCTGAGGTTCCAGCTTGGGCTGGATGAGACTAAAGGACTCCTGGGTGTTACTCAGCAGGGTTTGAACACGTGAACCTAGTAAATTGAAAAAATTCTTTAAAGATTACAAAAGAATAATAAAACAGTGAACCTACCGACACACACGACTCCATCACCAGAGTAACCGCTGTTACAGACCAGTCTCTTCGCCGGGTCGGGTCCTTTTACAGACCGCATACAGACTGCAGCCGCCATTATCCACCAGACACGGGTCTTTAGCTGCAAACATCACCATCATCATCGTCACCATCACAATCACCACCATCACCACCATCACCACCACCATCACCACCATCACCTCCATCATCACCACCATCATCAGCACCATCACCACCACCGCCATCACCACCACCATCACCACCACCACATCACCTCCATCATCACACCACCATCATCAGCACCATCACCACCACCGCCATCACCACCACCATTACCACCATCATCACCACCATCACCACCATCACCCATCATCACCACCATCATCAGCACCATCACCACCACCGCCATCACCACCACCATTACCACCACCATCACCACCACCGCCATCACCACCACCATTACCACCTCATCATCACCCACCACCACCACCACCACCATCACCTCCATCATCAGCACCATCACCACCACCATTACCACCATCATCATCACCACCACCATCACCATCACCTCCACCACCTCCATCATCACCACCATCATCAGCACCATCACCATCACCTCCACCACCTCCATCATCACCACCATCATCAGCACCACCACCATCACCTCCACCACCTCCATCATCACACCATCTCAGCACCATCACCATCACCTCCACCATCACCATCACATCACCTCACCACCACCATCATCAGCACCATCATCAGCACCATCACCACCACCACCATCACCACCACCATCACCTCCACCACCTCCATCATCACCACCATCATCAGCACCATCACACCACCACCACCATCACCATCCCTCCACCACCTCCATCATCACCACCATCATCAGCACCATCACCACCACCATTACCACCATCATCATCATCACCACCACCACACCACCACCATCACCACCACCATCACCTCCATCATCAGCACCATCGCCACCACCAATACCACCATCATCATCACCACCACCATCACCATCACCTCCACCACCTCCATCATCACACCACCATCATCAGCACCACCACCATCACCTCCACCACCACCATCATCACCACCATCACCATCACTACCATACTCATCACCACCACACCCACCCACCATCACCACCACCACAATCATCACCACCATCATCACCACCATCATCACCTCCACCACCACCACCATCACCATCATTACCATCATCACCACCACCATTATCATCATCACCACCACCATCAACACCATCACCACCACCATCATCACCACCACCATCACCAGCACCACCACCACATCATCACCACCACAATCATCACCACCATCACCACCACCAGCACCACCATCACTAACATCATCACCACCATCATCACCTCCACCACCTCCATCACCATCACCACCATCACAATCACCACCACCATCACACCACCATTATCATCATCACCACCACCATCACACCATCACCACCACCATCATCACCACCACCATCACCTCCACCCCACCATCACCAGCACCACCATCACCACCATCATCATCATCCACCATCATCACCATCATCACCACCACCATCATCGCCACCACCATCACCATCACCAGCACACCACCACCACCCTCACCACCATCATCATCACCACACATCATCATCATCACCAGCACCACCACCATCATCACCACCACCATCATCATCACCATCACAACCATTACCACCACCATCATCACACCACCATCATCACACAACCATCACCACCACCATCATCATCACCATCACAACTCACCACCACCATCATCATCACCATCACAATCACCACCACCATCACACCACCCATTATCATCATCACCACCACCATCACACACCACCATCAACACCATCATCACCTCCACCACCACCTCACCATCATTACATCATCACCACCACCAATTATCATCATCACCACCACCATCAACACCATCACCACCACCATCATCACCACCACCATCACCTCCACCACCACCATCACCAGCACCACCACCCAATCATCACCACCACAATCATCACCACCATCACCACCACCAGCACCACCATCACTAACATCATCACCACCATCATCACCTCCACCACCTCCATCACCATCACCACCATCACAATCACCACCACCATCACAACCACCATTATCATCATCACCACCACCTCAACACCATCACCACCACCATCATCACCACCACCATCACCTCCACCACCACCATCACCAGCACCACCATCACCACCATCATCATCATCACCACCATCATCACCATCATCACCACCACCATCATCACACCACCACAATCATCACCATCACCAGCACCACCACCACCACCATCACCACCATCATCATCACCACCATCATCATCATCACCCACACCACCACCATCATCACCACCACCATCATCATCACCATCACAACCATCACCACCACCATCATCACCACCACCATCATCATCACAACCATCACCACCACCATCATCATCACCATCACAACCATCACCACCACCATCATCATCACCATCACAATCACCACCACCATCACACCACCATTATCATCATCACCACCACCATCATCACCACCACCATCAACACCCACCAGCACCACTACCATCATCATCACCACCACCATCACCTCCACCACCACCACCACAATCATCACCACCACAATCACCACACCATCATCATCATCACCAGCACCATCATCACCACCACCATCATCATCACAACCATCACCACACATCATCACCACTATCATCATCACCATCACCACCACCTCACTACCATCACCACCTCCACCACCACCACCTCCACCATCATCACCACCACCACCACCATCATCACCACCACATCATCAGCTCCACCATCACCATCATCACCATCATCATCACCACCATCACAATCACCACCACAATCATCACCACCACCATCATCATCACACCACCACCATCATCATCACCACCACCATCACAACCATCACCATCATCACCACCACCACCACTATCATCATCACCATCATCACCACCACCATCATCACCATCATCACCACCATCATCATCATCACATCACAACCCCACCACCATCACCACCATCATCATCACCACCACCATCATCACCACCACCATCACTACCATCATCATTACCATCACCACCATCATTACCATCCCACCATCATCACCACCACCATCATCATCACCAACACCATCATCATCACCATCACTACCATCATCATCACCACCATCATCACCATCACTACCATCATCATCACCACCATCATTACCATCACCACCATCATCACCACCACCATCATCACCATCACTACCATCATCACCACACCATCATCACCATCACTACCATCATCACCACCATCATCACCACCATCACTACCATCATCACCTCCACCACCACCACCACCCATCATCACCATCATCACCACCCATCATCATCACATCATCAACCCCACCACCATCACCACCATCATCATCACCATCCCACCACCATCATCATCATCATCACCACCACCATCACCATCATCAACCCATCATCATCATCATCCACCATCATCACCACCCACCATCATCATCATCACCACCATCATTACCATCACCACCATCATTACCACCATCATCACCATCATCACCACCATCATCATCACCACCATCATTACCATCACCACCATCATTACCACCATCATCACCATCACCACCATCATCATCATCACATCATCAACCCCACCACCATCACCACCATGATCATCACCATCACCATCATTACCATCACACCTTCATTACCATCACCACCACCATCATCATCATCACCCCCATCATTACCATCACCACCATCATTACCACCATCATCACATCATCAACCCCACCACCATCCCACCATCATCATCACCATCACCATCATCATCACCACCACCATCACCATCATCACCACCATCATCATCATCACCATCATCACCACCACCATCATCATCATCACCACCATCATTACCACCATCATCACCACCATCATCATCACCATCACCATCATTACCATCACCACCATCATCACCACCACCATCACCACCATCATCATCATCACCATCATCACCACCACCATCATCATCATCACCACCATCATTACCACCATCATCACCACCATCATCATCACCATCACCATCATTACCATCACCACCATCATCACCATCATCACCACCATCATCATCACC